CATCCACCACAGAGGAGATGCTCAATATATTAGGTGGACAAGATAACTCATTTTGAATGCCAATCACTTTCTTTCCCCAGCCATCCCAAGGCTCACTCATGTGAAAACCAGTTACAGTGGTAAGAACGGAGGCTATGCACAGGCTCAACTACTTGGACTCATCTCTTACCAGGACTGACTGAGCCACAGCTACCACCGAGTGCTCAACCTACCAACAGCACAGACAAACACTGAGCCCCTGATACAGAGGGATAAGCCACCTACCTGATGGTAGGTTGATTACACAGACTTCTATCATGGAGGGGGGCAGCAAGGGATCCTCACTAGATCACATATATATTCCAGATCATATATTCCTTTCCTGTCCCTTAAGCTTCTATAAACACAACCTTCTGTGAACTTTGGAATGTCTTATTCATTAACATGGTTTGCCACAAAACACTGCTTCTAATCAAGAAACATACTTCATAGCAAAATAAGAGGTGCAATGACTTAGAATTCCCTCCTCTTACCCCACCACCTAGAAGCAGCTGACTTAACAAAACAGTAGAATGGTCAATTAAAAGTACAATCACGTCACTGCATCTTAAAGTCATAGTGTTCTATCTTACAGGATACACTAGATGTTTTGAATTTGCAACCAAATATATGGTAAAGCTTCTCCTTTTGCCAAAATACATGGGTTAAGAAGTCACTAGGTGGAAATGGGCTCTTCTCAATATTACATCTAATAATCTAGTCAGAGAATTTTTGTTTCCTATCCCTGCAACTTTGTGCCAGATGGTTTGGGGATTTTGGTTCACAAAACAGAAATGCTTCTACATCGCAGGACACAAGAATGGTTGCACTGAATCAGAAATTAAAACTGCCAACTGACCACTTTGTGCTCCTCATGTAACCGGACCAACAGGCAAAAAAAGAGTATTACTCTACCGGCTAAATGACTGATCCTATTATCAAAGAAAAACTGGGTTGCTGCTACACAACTGAACAGAAGGGACTATGTCTGGAACCCTGGGGATTCTTTGGGATGTCTTTTAGTAGTTCCATGTCCAATAGTATAAGTTAATGAAAGATTATAGAAACCAAAATGGGCAGGAGCAATGAATCTCAGACTTTTTTGGAGTAAAGATTTGAGACACCCCACTATGTAAAGAATCTTATCATCTAAGAACCTGGCTGAGAACAAAGGGAAAAATAAAATGGATAGTGGAAGAAAAGTTTCGACTTACGGCCTCATGACCAGTAACAGAATTGTTGATGTTGGCTAACTTGACAATTTAGTTATTAGTAACAAAATATTCAAATGGAACTGTGACTGAATTTGAAGAGTAATTAACATTGCCCAGAAATAGATATCATAAACTGTCTCCCAGAAATGGATATATTATTGTTATTATCTTCACTTTGAAGATACAGTAAGAGGACATTCGTATCTTGTTATGTGAAAGAATAATGTTATTTTTTCTGTTTTAGGGAAATTCAAATATGTATAGAAGTACGTGGATGCTAAATAACTATCGAAGCGGACTGTGCTATTATTAAGCTACTGTCTCTTGGCTTCAAACTCACTTGTCTATGCTCTGTTCTATTTGCTAGAACTCTGTCAACCACATTTCTCCTCTGCCAGCTGGTTCCCTGACTGCCTTGGTACATATGGGCTGTTAGAAGGGGAACTAAAAGACTTGAGGAAAATGAAGAAGCCTGTTCTTCCCTGTTTGTAGCAAAATTTTTCTACCCTAGTGGTGACAGCTGGCTCCTCTGTCTATAAAGCTCAACACAAGGTAAACTGCTAAGACACAAAAAATCTATTTTAGGCCATGGTAAATCAATGTTAATATAGTTCCAATTTTCAGAGGCAATAAGCACAAAGGTCAGTTTTTTAATTGCCATCAACAGGGCATTCAATACAATAAAACAGATTTTTCTATTTGTATTAAATTTCAATCTAACACGTCTATAGTATAACCACTTTATTATAGCAGCGGAATGAGACTCAAAACCATACTTTGAAAGCCTAAGGCTTCATAAAAAATTATTGCTAACATTTTTCAAAGGTTGATATGTACATTATACCTTTCAAGATATTCATTCCATTCTAAGCTTTGTAGAAATATTTGGAAGTACAATCAAGGAAACAAATTAGCTTGTTTATGGTATTTAAATGTAATTAGTCCCAGCTCACTGGTCACATGCTATGAGTTTTATGATTTTCAGACATGACTATTCTCCTTTCAAACTATTACACCTGTTTCTTGTAATGCCTCTCTAACATACTGAATTCCTATTAACCATTAGATATAAACTGATTTATTTAGTGAAAACTGCTACAATGTATAACATCCTTTACATGAAAAAAAGCATATTACCCTAACTGAATAATATGTTTTATATAATACTTACCAAGTAACTTCATATTAAATACACTATTTTCAAAGACTGATATCCATGTTGCATAAACAATGTACCTACACCAATATAATTTGCATCTTCCTATTTGAAAATCACCTTAAATGCTGACATTTTGGAATGTTTTACAGATGTGCAAGAATCAAAAGCAATTCATTGTCTTTTGTAAGAGATATTTAAACAGGTAAAATTTTAAAAGAACAAAATATATTAACAACACAGTGAGAATAAAGCAAAATTTGGATGACAAACTACTAAACTGAATTACATTTTCCTATGGAGCCCTGGTGGTGCAGTGGTTAAGAACTCAGGCTGCTAACCAAAAGTCGGCAGTTTGAATCCACCAGCCACTCCTTGGGAAACCCTATGGGGCAGTTCTACTCTGTCCTATAGGATCATTACGAGTCGGAATCTACTCGACAGCAACGAGTAATTTTGGTATATGTAATTGCAGGAGTCCTTGAGTGGTGCAAACAGTTAAGCACTCTACTAGCTGAAAGGTTGGTGGTTTGAATCCACCTACAGGCGCCTCGGAAGACAGGCCTGGCACACTGCTTCCAAAAGGTCAAAGTCTTGAAAACCCTATAGAGTAGTTCTACTCTGCACACGTGGGGTCACCGTGAGTTGGAATTCACTCAATGGCAAGTAACAACAACAACAACATACATAATTGCAATGGACAATTACACAGAAAAAAAATAAAGACTGACATTTTCTACTACTTAGAGAAATGGGCATTCTATTTTTAACCTCGTGTAGCTTTTAAATGCTGCTAAGAATTACTACCTGGAGAAAGCACAACTAAATGATTTTTCAAAACTAAAAAAAAAAAAAATCAATAAGGGTCCATACTTAGCTAAATATTGTAAATACAGTATTAGGCAAAATAGAAGATTCACTAAGAAAGCAATTTAATGAAATTTACTTCATCTTTGAAGTCTTACATTTCCAAAGATCCATAGTCATCTGTGTCTTAAAAAAAAAAGTGCAGTCCCACCAGAACTAATCTCTCCATCTCCACTGTTTTAGAAATCAGGCGGTCTTCTATAAGATACTTTCAGAAGAGGTATCAAGCCTATACCCAGTTTGCCTGACTATTTATGAATGCATAGGCTCCTCAGTTAACTGGAACCCACAATATCTGTACACCAGATACTCTGTTAGAAGAATAATCTTGAATTTAATGCTTATCAACATTTATCCAAAGTTAAGAGAAATAATATTTTTGAAAACTGGAAAATGTATGTGTGTACATATATGTATATATGTATCTGTGTGTAGACAGATAGATATTCCATCTACAAACACCTAAGCAACACTATTTAGGGGACCCAAATAATTGTTCTGACTAAACCGTACTTGGCCATTAAGTCACAAGTCTTTACTTAAGGTTATAAAATATTAACCACCCTATTTTTGAAAACTGACACTCATACAGCCTTATTAAACTCACTTTTTACTTAGGATGTAAATAGGATATAGTTCACTACACTGCAAAGTGTCTTCTCTATGAGAATCACAGTCTCTTATGAGACCATTTTATTCTTATGGAGCCTGGACTGAGTTAACTGATCACATATCCTTTTTATTAGTTACAAAAAAAGCAAACTTGCAGTTTACGTTTGGTGAGTACAAAGGATTTCATGGCATGCACTGGTAAACTTATATCTTTCTGCTACAGTTATCTTATTTGTTTTTCACTTTATGATTTCCTTGATTAAGCATTTCTCATTTTGTTGTAATGTATTTATTTCCGTAAGATGCCTTAAAAATTTCTGTCTTAAAAATTATGAAATAAAACAAAATTTTGGAAAAACAATGAAAATATTAATGTTATATCATCTTTTATTCTAAAATAGCAACCAATAAAGACAAAAAAGGAAGATTAACCAATAAATAAAAAAATTGCCACTTACTGAACATTATGAAAAATCTTAATAAAATTCAACAATTAAATCCTTGCTCTAATAAAGTATGGATAAAAGTTTGCTCTGCAAATGCAAACATGAAGCAGTATCCTTCAAAATAAAAAATACTTATTTCAATACACTTAATTATAATGCCAACGATCATGTGTTATAAGTCATTTGACAGGCTTAGTTGTAAGTAAAATCAATTATTACTTTTACAATTTAACCAAGTTTTTCTTTTTTTTATATTAGAAATAACTGTTGGTTAAAAAAAAGGATTTTAAGACTAAAATTAATAAACTTTAAATGCTACTACAAAATGTTAACTGTTACAGGTCAAAGGAGCAATCTGTGAAAATTAGTATAAGTAAAAACCCAAAACAAATCCTTTGCCATCAAGTCAATTCCAACTCCTAGCAACCCTGAAGGAGAGAGCAGAACTGCTCCATAGCATTTCCAAGGCTGTAATTCGTACAGAAACAAACTGCCACATCTTTCTCCTGCGGAGCGGCTGATGGGTTTGAACCATCAACATAACCATTGATTAGCAGCCAAGCACTTAACCACTGTGTCACCAGGGCTACTAGAGTATCTGTTAAAGTACCCTGTAAACGGTGAATCCAACAGTATGCAAACAGTATTATTTCATGCAAAAATGAGTGGAGGTGAGTGTACACTTACCCTTCTCCTCCCATTCTTGTTATCTTTAGGCGAAAATCCACAGAATTCAGACTGGGAGGCTTCCATTTCAAAATATCATCACATCGACCAGGCTTATATTTCTAAAACGATAGTAATAATCAATAAATACCTTTAAAAAAAAAAAAAAGCCCTACACATTCAACTTATGAACAATCATATCTATTTTTTATTAAGCAAAATTACTACTTCTTTTCTGAATATAATTTTTGTTATCATCAACCAATGAGTGAGGCTAATTATCTATCTTTAATTGATGGCCTTTGTCTTTTTCCTCACACTAAGACTGCCAAAGACAGGCAGATTCTTGTTTGTGGAAGTCCAGAAAAAGAAAAAATTCAGTTATTCTATCCAACCTTTCCATTACTCAAAGGAAGGTTGATAATTTTTTTAAAAAAAGATTTTTCTTGTTCAGCTTTACCAAGGCAAAATTTAAAATGAATAAAATTAGCTAATTTGAACTGTCTTACTCAACAAGTTTTGACAAATGTATAGTCACATAACTATCACCAAAAGCATGATATAGAGATACTTTGATCACCCTCAAAAGTTCTCATGTGAACACTTTGCAACCAATTCCTTCCTCTAGCCCTCTGGCAACAACAGATCTGCTTTTTATCACTCTATGTGTGTGTTTGCTAGAATTCATAAAATACTCTTAACATAAGACTTCTGAGATTCACTTATTCTGATTTATGTATTATTAATTTGTTCCTTTTTATTTCAGAGTAAGATTCCATGTTGTGTATATACCACAAATTGTTTATACATTGACAAGCTGATGGATATCTAGGTTGTTTCCAGTTTTTGGCTATCATGAATGCTGCTGCTCTGAACATTCATGAGCAAGTTGTGTCGACATATGTTTTCATCTCTCTCTCTCTTTTTTCCCCCTCACTCTTCATTTCATACCCATGAGTGGAAGGGCTGGGTCACATGATAAATATATGTTTAACTTCATAATAAACTGCCGATCTGTTTTCCAAAGTGGCTGTAGCATTTTCCACTCCCACCAGAAATGCATGAGACGTCCAGTTACTCCACATCCTCCCCAGAACCAAACAATGTCAGTTTTTCAATTTTATCCATTTTTAACGGATATGCCTCCTAATTTTAATTTTCATTTTCCTAATGACAAAATATGCTGAAAATCTTTTTATGTGCTTATTTACCATGTTATGGGTTGATTTGTGCCAAAAAGATATGTGCAAGTCGTAACCCCCAGTCCCTATGAATATGACCTTATTTGGAAACAGTGTCTTTGCAGCTGTAATTAGTTAAGTCAACAAGTCATACTGGAGTGGAGTGGGCCTTCATCCAATATGATCTTTGAAGAAGAGACATTGAGACAAAGGGAAGAACACCATATGAAGACATAGACACTTCCATGTAAAGACGGAGGCAGAGATTGGAGTCATGTTGCCAAAAGCCAAGGAATGCCTGAGAGTACCAGAGGCTGGAAGAGACGAGGAAAGATCTTTCTGTATAGTGTTTGGAGAGAGCATGCTCCTAACGACATCCTGAATTCAGACTTTTAGCCTAAATTGTGAGAGAATAAGTTACTGTTGTTTTAAGTTTGTGGTACTTTGTTACAGCACTAATACACCATCTGTGTATCTTCTCTGAGGACAGTAGTGGTCCAGCCGTAGAATTTTCACCTTCCACAGAGTGACCTGGGTTGGATTCCAGCCAATGCACTTCAAGCACAGCCACCAACCATCTATCAGTGGAGGCTTGCAGAGCTTCCAGACTAAGACAGACTAGGAAGAAAGGCCTGGAGATCTACTTCCAAAAAAAATCAGCCACTGAAAACTACAGATCATAATGGTCCAGTCCTGTTATGCAGAGGGTCTCCAAGAGTCAGAGGCTGACTTGACAGCAACTAACAATTTATTTTCTTTGGTGAAGTGTCTGTTGAAATATTTTGCCCTTGTTTTTAACGGGCTGTTTACGTCCTTATTATTGAGTTGTAAGACTTGTTTATATATTCTGGATAAACAGCCATTGTAGGACATATGCACTGCAAATATTTTCTACCTGTCTTTGGCTTGCCTTTTTATTTTCTTAACAATTTCTTTTGAAAGGCAAAGTTTTTAATTTTGACAAGGTTGATATTATTAAAAATAATTTAAAAATTATCAATTTTTAAATTTTATAATTCATGCTTTTTGTGTTCTATCTAACTATTCTGAAGTCACTGTAATTTTCTACTATGTTTTCTCAGAGAAGTTTTACAGTTTTATTTATATGGTGTGAGGCAAAGGACTAGGTTCATTGTTTGGCATATGGATATTAAATCAATCTGGCACCATTTGTTGAAAAGATTATTCTTTCCTCATTGAAATGCCTTGGCACCACTGTCAAAAATCAACCGTTTACAGATACATTTTTGTTCCTACTAATCTGTTGCACTAATATACGTTTCTCTTTCTACTAACAGCACACTGTCTCGGTTACTGCAGCTTTATGTGGTTAGGTGTCACTGAATCGGTTCTGACTCGTAGCAACCCTACGTACGACAGTACAAAACACTGCTCAGTCTTGCACCATCCTCACAATTGTTGCTATGTTTGAGCCACTGTTGCAGCCACTGTGTCAATCCATCCTGTTGAGAATTTTCCTCTTTTTCACTGACACTCAAAATCAGGTTGTGTTAAGTCTTCCAATTTTGTTTTTTT